TGTGAGGAGGAAAGCTCAAAAGGAGACCATCGTTTCCAGGTTTAGGAGCCTCAGCAATCATTTCAGGGGGGCTCAGATTTTTGTTCTTCGCCATGAAAATCTCCTCCAGCTTCCTTCTCTATCATCATCTTCTTCTTCTTCTTCTACTTTCTGCTTCTTTGTCTTCTTCTGCAGTTCAGGAAGACGACATAAGATGTCTTCGAGGGGTTAAGGATTCGCTCGTTGATCCTCTTGGAAAGCTCAGTTCCTGGGATTTCAAGAACACGTCGGTCGGGAATCTTTGCAATAAATTTGTCGGACTGTCTTGCTGGAACGACCGGGAGAATCGCATTCTGAGCCTTGAGCTCAGAGATATGGCGCTCTCTGGTTCCATTTCTGAGGATTTGCAGTACTGTGTGAGCCTGCAGAGACTGGATCTGTCTGGTAATTCCTTTTCCGGTGCGATTCCGCCGCATATTTGTAAGTGGCTTCCGTATTTGGTTAATTTGGATTTGTCCAACAATCAATTTTCCGGCCCTATTCCGGCTGATCTCGCCGGATGTTCTTATCTGAATTCGTTAATGTTGTCTAATAATGCGCTTTCGGGTACGATACCAGTTGAGCTTACGAGTTTGAGTAGGCTTAATAAATTTTCTGTTGCGAACAATCATCTCACTGGTTCGATTCCCGAATCTTTTAATAAATTTGGGAGTGAGGATTTTGATGGGAACAGTGAGTTATGTGGAGGGCCTGTTGGATCGAGCTGTGGTGGGCTGAGCAAGAAAAATCTAGCCATTATTATAGCTGCTGGTGTGTTTGGTGCTGCAGCTTCTCTGTTATTAGGTTTTGGGTTATGGTGGTGGTATCATTCTAGGATGAACATGAAGAAAAGAAGGGGATATAGGGATGGGAGTAATGGGGATTGGGCTGATAGATTAAGAGCCTATAAGCTAGTTCAAGTTTCCTTGTTTCAAAAGCCTCTTGTGAAAGTTAAGTTAGCTGATTTGTTAACTGCTACGAACAATTTCAATGGTGAAAATATAATGGTTTCTTCTAGAACTGGAACTACATATAGAGCTGCTCTTCCAGATGGCTCTGTGCTTGCTATAAAGCGGCTCAATACCTGCAAGCTTGGTGAGAAGCTGTTTCGGACGGAGATGAACCGGTTAGGATCGTTGAGGCACCCGAATTTGACACCCCTTTTGGGATTCTGTGTTGTGGAAGAGGAAAAGCTTTTGGTTTATAAGTATATGTCTAATGGGACTTTGGCTTCTTTGTTACATGGAAATGGTGAGATATTGGATTGGGCAACTAGGTTTAGGATTGGTTTGGGTGCAGCTAGGGGTCTTGCTTGGCTTCACCATGGATGCCAACCTCCATTCATGCATCAAAACATATGTTCTAGTGTAATTCTTGTGGATGATGAGTATGATGCTAGGATCATGGATTTTGGATTGGCAAGGTTAATGGCTTCGGATTCTCACGACAGTAGTTTCGTTAATGGAGATTTAGGGGAGCTCGGTTACATTGCTCCCGAATATCCCAGCACCATGGTTGCTTCTCTAAAAGGGGATGTTTATGGATTTGGGGTTGTGCTTTTGGAGTTGGTCACTGGCCAAAAACCTCTAGAAGTCACGAAAGCAGAGGAAGGCTACAAGGGTAACTTGGTGGATTGGGTTAATCAGCTAAGTAGTTCGGGTCGAATCAAGGACGTTATCGATAAAAGTCTTTGTGGAAAAGGGAACGACGACGAAATCTTACAACTTCTGAAAATTACAATGAACTGCATTGTTTCTAGGCCCAAGGACAGGTGGTCTATGTATCAGGTTTATCAGTCAATGAAATCAATGGCTAAGGACTACAGTTTCTCTGAACCAGACGATGCGTTCCCACTTTTACTCGGCAAGGGAGATAACGAACCCGTGTAGTTCCAGAAACCGCACGTAGATGCCAACATTATATAGAGGAGGACTTGGGATTTCTTCATCTTCTGGTGAGTTCCACGTTTGTAGCTGACTTGTGTAGGTTCTTGGATTCTCAAGTAATTTATCCATTATCCTTTCTTTATGAGCTTCATTATTGATTCTTGCTATGTGATAAATGACCATCAAACACTCAAAATGTCATTGGTATGAGCTGAGAATAAGAGCATTTTTCTGTCGTAGCGTCGTTATTTTGTCGATAATGATATCATTATTTCATTTCTATGTGGTATACTCATCATAGATGTATTATTATATGTAGGTTAAAACTTGTTAGGATGTGTATATCATGAGGCATTGAAAGATCAAAAATGGTGTGTTCTTCTTTCATCTCACCTGGTGCCACTGTCTACTCGTTTCGATATCGACAAATCTCGAACTGTGCTATTATATTCAGGTTATTGTTGTATAAATGTAGAAGTATGTATATGTAGAAGGTGAAAGATGTGTGTTTTTCACTTTCAGATTCTGAATTTGTTTTGAATGATTCTTATTATTGATTTTTAGCAGGATTAATGGTTATTTTCAACCTTGCCTGCTCCCACAATTTATTTATTATTATTATTATTATTTTTTGCAAGCCGGTCAAAGTCAACACCAGACACATCTAATTGTCTATCCATGACACGCTTTTGAATATTGAAATTTCTTGGTTGACAACTTATCTGAAATACATGTAATTGTGTATAAATTCATATATTAATTATTAATTATTAATATTATTATTGTTAAATTTGTCAAACTAAAATAAATAAATATGAAAGAAACAAAATAGAGTCAAACAAAAATTAAATAAATAATAAATAGATTTAATTCAAAGAAAACTGCGGGAGATTAAACCTATTATTATTATTATTATTATTATTATTATTGTTTTGAATTTTCTATTTAAAATCTCTTTATTCAATGGAGAGAGAGAGAGAAGAGGAGAGGCTTTCTTTTCAATTCAATAATTCAAAATTTTATTTTATTTATTTTTTAATTTTAAAAAGTGGGTTTCTTTACAATACAATTTCAGGATACATACCATTTTTGCAAAATAAATAATTAATAAATAAACAAACGTATAAAGATTTATAAAAGGTTACCAAAAAAAAAAAAAAAAAAAGTGACAGTTCAATCTCAAATTTTCTTATTTATTTTATGAAAAATAAAATATTAGGTATTTCTTAGAACAAAATTCAAGAAATTTAATAAAAAAAATATTATAAAAAAAGAAAAAGAAAAAGAAAAAAGGAAAATAAAATTTTCTTCGTCCTAGGCATATGGGTTGCTTAAGGGTCCCCAGCTCTTTATTATTATTATTATTATTTATTATAATTCTTCTTCTTGTTCGTTCTCTCTTTGTTTTTTAATCATTCAAAAGATTTCCATCTTTTTATTCCCATAATTACTTTGACCGATTCAAACCAAAAAAAATAAATTAAATGGTTTAAATTATATGTACAAATTTGTTGACCATTCTTGTTCTTCAACTCATTTTTACTTCTTTCAAACGCTATTATTCATTTTGAACATGAGTTGTAATGTCTTATGTCTAAGATTCAGATCAGGATTCAAAATTCTAATTCGACATTTGATAGCTTCGACATTCCCTTAAACTATGGTCACATTATTTACTTCTCATTTATTAAGAGTGAAAACTAACCCTACAAACCAACACAAGCTTCCAATATGTTATGTCTATACTTACCTACATAATTGGAAAACTTATAAGGGAGGTCACTCAATATTGAATTACTCAAAATAAAGTACGTTTAACTATAAAGTTTCTAAGATTGAACCACTAAAAAAGAAGATGCATTTTATTGATATAAGTAATAACTTTCATTTACTTTAATCATTCTATTATGAGGATCGCTCTCAATTGAATTTGGTTTCAGTTCATTCATGTACCTCTTATTTACTCGGATGTCACGTAATTGTATGAAAAATTAGAGTATTTTGTAAAGAAACAGATATATGAGAAAGAACCAAGAAGATGAAGATGAAGATGAAGCTGTCGTGTTGAGGTAACAGTGACAGAGTCCGGTCGGAGGAGAGCGCCCACAGCCTTTCTTGGGGGCCGCTCCCTTCTTCTTCTTTTCTTTTTCTCTTTTTCTTTTTCTTTTTTTTTTTTGTTGTTGTTGTTGTTTTTTTTTTTTTTTTTTTTTTTTTTTTTTTTTTTTTTTTTTTTTTTTTNGTAGAGCACGTCATTGTTCACGAATCTGTCTGAATTTTACACTCTCCCAAACCTTTTGAGTACAATTATCAAAAGTCCAATCTTTCCTCATCCTTCTCCACGTGTTATCTCTCCCATTAATTTTATTTATTTTTTTCTAAACATCATAAATATCCCTCAAAATTTAAATATTTTTTGTACTTCCGAAAATCAATTAAATTGTTAAATGATTTGTAAAATCAACTTAATTGTAGCTTAATGTTTTTTTTTTCTTCTAACAAACCTAAAAATTCCTATTTTAAATTCGAAAGTTACTAAATAATTTATTTTATTTTTAATAAAAGCAATTTTTTAATTTTTTATTTATTTAACAGTTTCGTTTTCAATTATTTTTCCTGATTTGAGATAGAACTACTAGACAAAGTTGTACAAATGGTCCCCCTTTTGTTTCCATCCTATTTTTTAGAACTACTTTTTTCAAGTTCTACTCAAATTTGAAATTAGATTTTAAAAAATATTTTAAAAATGGTACACACCATTCCTTGAAACAATTTTTATATTAAAAAAAAAAGAAAAAGAAAAAGAAAAAAGAGAAGCTACCAAAAGCAATTCCTTAATCCTTTATTATATTCTTATGGAACCATTTGGAAAATATTCCATCACTTTATTTCACAAATTAGTTAATTAAGATTTACGCGGAATTCCGAGATAAAGGATAAGCAATTAAAGTTGGAGCAGGTTTATAGGCCACTTTTTACTATTTAAATCACCAATTACAGGAATCAATCATTTTCCACTTTTTAAGAATGTGTCGCCTAAAAGCATGGGAGAAAAACAACAAAGATATTAATGGAAAATTCAAGTTATACATATACATGTGAACGACAAGAAACAAAATATAATAACTTCAAATTCCGAGAAAAACAAAAACTTTGCATCTTAGATCGAATAAATGATGACTACTAACAACTGAAATTTTTTCTGGGAAAGTTATGCAAAATCTCTTTACCCCCAAAAACCCACTAAGAACAGTTGCCATGTCAGTGCTTTAGGGGACAAAAGTCTCAATGCAGGATCTATCCTTGATGGAGAGCATAAAAATAAAAATAAAAACCATTTACTTACAGGTAAAAAAAAAAAATTAACTGTTCATTTCTGAGCCTTTTCTGCAGCTGATCTATCTCCTCGATTTGCTTAGGCTCGAACTGGTGGTTGTTTGGAATTCTCCACTCTCCTGAGATTCACATTTTGTGCAAAAAAAGAAAATCATCAGCCCATGTCATAAAGACAGAGAGTATCATGCTGCAATGGTTTTGTTGCAAAGAGAAACAATTTTATGTAATCCGTCAAGCTTATGAACTAAAGTGGTCAAGTTCTTGCCCCAATGCCTTTAACAGCTCATAAAAATAAGAGAAAGAGTGATAAAAAAGAACTTTTGTTCTTTTTTCTCTTATGGGGGGAAAGAAGTGAGACTATCTCCAATATCAACACTTATCAATTGAAATAGTTTGTTGCATCTCTTTAACAAACTCAAGTTGTTAAAACCAAACAATGAAAGAAAAAGAAAAGAAAGCACACTGGTTAGAGGCAGAGCAATACATTATTCTAAAATGATCAAATGACGGGGGTTTGAATGAATTCTGTTCACAATTTTGTAGTAAACAAGGAAACTAATAACGACAACTGGAAAAGATGAGATGAGAGGCAATAGAGTAGCTTCCTAAATTCACTAATGGTAATAGAACTCTCAGTTCCTTATCTTTCTTCTAATTGAAGTAGGGTGGTCACCTTCAGACGCGTTAATTTGCCTTTTTTTAGGGACAAAATTCAATGGTCAAATTTCTGTCCTCAAGATGACAAAAATTTAAAGAATTCTACACCAAAGCGTCAAAACCCACAAAATTAAGGAGATAAAAAATATAAAAGAAAGGAAGGAGAACAGACGAATAGTTCGGAAGATCCTTGCAAAGAGCAGAAGAAAAAGAAAATAAGCAAGCATATCTGCAATTTTAATATATTAGATCAAGTAGAATTGCGTACCTGTTATGGATTGGATCAGGTCCATTTGGTACTCTTCTCTTGCTGACAGAATAGAAATCAGAATGCCAATGAAAGACATGCTTCTCGCTTCCAATCACCTTCCACTGCATGTCTGTCGCTCTTCTGGATGCTGGGCTAGCATTATCAATCCCTCCTATGAAAGAAAACCAGATGATACCAAGAAAGAGAAAAACTCCAAACAGAAGCCTAAAAAATCTACAGTTAGGTTCCATTACACCCAAACCTTTTTCCTAAACTCACAGCTTCCAATTGACCAACAATGGTCATCATCCATTCAGAACAGAAACACAGAAATGACTAAAATCAGACATTTTCAGGGCATGGAAGTGGAGATGGATAACTATAGACTAAGAAAGAAGAAAGAAGAGAGATGGAAAACTAATTCGGTTGGCTGAGGTATTGGCGGGTTGTAAGGCTGTTTTGTTTGTATATAAAGACGGTATCAGTGAAACTGTACTTTGTGTTCGCGTGGGAAGAGAGAGAAGGAATCTGATTTAAACGCAGAAAAGTAGTTATTTATGTCACTTTATTGTGGAAGAATGTGTCCATCAGCTCCTTTTTCTTCGCCTTAGTTTCTGCATTTTCCTATAGCTACAAAAGGGGAATTGGGGGATCTCACTATCTCATAAACTCAGAGCACTTAACATCAGGTTCGTAAAGACGAGGCATAGCCAAATCTCCAAATATTAGACTAAAATTTGCGAAGAAGATAAAGTGTTAATCCCAATTAGGCCAAATGTTACATAGTCATCAGAGAAATGATTGCTCACCTGAAGAAAATTGAGGTAGTTGGTTTTGAGTGTCTGGTAGTTGATCAGCGCCCAATATTGCAAGGAAACCCTTGATTTTAAACCTTGTTTTGGAAAAAAACATACGAGCAATTGCTATCAGAGAACAATGAAAAATGAATACTACCATTTGTTTAGATGCGCTGCTGTCGCAAGCCCACAGTACACAATGAACTAATCTGGCTCAAATCAATACTGAAGGCAAATCAGAGCAATTCAACTAAGAAACAAGTATCTGATACCAAAGTAGATTGATGCCCTTAAGAACCATTTTCTTTGTAAATTCATGAGGCAGGCAGCTTCGCATGTCTGGTTACAAGAATTCTGATTACTGTAAATTGATTCTGCGTTCATGTGAGCAAACGAGATCCGTGCATGTTTAGGACTCTCTCCCACGTTCATGGATGTGAATATTAGGGCTTCCCAATCCAACGACTCCATTTCAGAATCCTGGAAAACTTTACTCAGTGGTCCTACTAGCAAGTGGCAAACTGAAAAAGAAGAAAATATGATCAAAGAAAATACAGTGGAACTGTTACTGGATCCCAAAAAATGAAGAACAAAACTAAAGGATAATGAAAAGTCGAAGACTATAAGCGAATAAAGTATTGGCATGTTCTCAAATATCTTCTTCTTTCCCTTGGCATGTCATATTGATTATTACATACGCATGCATGTACACATGTTTAGATCCAATTTAATTATGACAGCAGAACTTTCACATTTAGATTTCTGTCCGAAGCAAGCAGGTTGGCGTAGGACTTGTTGATCCTAACAGCTTCCTTCATCAATTCCCAATGTTTTTTCCCCTATCATAGATGAGATAGCAGCACGGTTTATCCGCCATCCCTTCCATTTTCCCCTTTACAAGACTGTATTTTTCCATGATGTCCGTCTCAGTCAGCTTGGCTTCTCTGTTGAACTGCAACCTGCAAGAGGCAAAGTCATATGTCCTGTGCCTATAGACCTATCAGTGGAGTCTTAGAGTTAGTCCACTCCACGAACCGCCCCCCCCCCCCCCCCCCCCCCCCCCCCCCCCCCCCCCCCCCCCCCCCCCCCCCCCCCCCCCCCCCCCCCCCCCCCCCCCCCCCCCCCCCCC